AAAGCATTTACTTACTTGAAGGCTAATGACGGATGCTACCTATGTGGCCTGTGGCCTAAAAACTGGAACAAAATGTCTTAATACAATCATACAGTTAAATTTTAAAAATGGCTCAATGGCGTTGAAGTAGTCATATATTCAACATTTTACATACTTGAATAAAGCCAAACATAAAACACGACTGCTCTCTTTAAGGATTTGAAGGGCTGTCACTTCGATGAGGGCAGGGAGCTGTTCCTGTTGGCAGCAGAGGAGAGGACTCGCAAGAATGATTTTAAATTAAGGGCGGGAAGGTACCGGCTGGATATTAGGGAAAACTTTTTTACAGTAAGAGTTGTGCAACAGTGGAATCAACTACCTAGGGAGGTGGTGAGCTCCCTCTCATTGGCTGTCTTTAAGCAGTGGCTGGACAAACACTTGTCAGGGATGCTCTAGGCCAGTGATGGTGAACCTTTTAGAGACCGAGTGACCAAACTGCAACCCAAAACCCACTTATTTATTGCAAAGTGCCAACACGGCAATTTAACCTAAATACTGAGGTTTTATTTTAGAAAAAACAACTCATACATTAACATAAGATGATCCAAACAAAGTAAGGAAAGCAATCCCAATCGTGCGCCGGCCCGCCTGAGCGCCAGAGGAGGAACAACCAGCCGAACGAGCCACCAGGAAGAGAGCCGAGCCAGGACCGCCTCCACCAGGGTGCCGGTATGCAGCCCCATCCCCAAATATACAATGTGCCCCAAGTTAGGGAACAAATGTGTGCTTAGCACCCCACTCTGTAAACCGCCCAGAGACCCCCTACCAAGGGGTTAGGGCGGTATAGAAAATCGAAAGTTAAATAAAAATAAATTAAAAAATGCTCTCATTTACTTAAAATTATTTGGCAGAGAATTTGACACTTTAATGAAGGTCTGGGCCTGGCTGGGGCGATGGCACGCATGCCCACAGAGAGGGCTCTGAGTGCCACCTCTGGCACCCGTGCCATAGGTTCGCCACCACTGCTTTAGGCTGATCCTGCATTGAGCAGGGGGTTGGACTAGATGGCCTGTAGGGCTCCTTCCAACTCTGGGATTCTGTGATTCAATCAGTACTCTAAAGTTTACATTACTAATTTATTAAAAAGGACATTCAGGGTTTTTTCTGCTCGGGAGAGGAGCATGTCTTTACTGAACACGTCAGGTCCCTGGTTGTTTCAAGAAGTGAGCTATGACCACTTCTGGGATCAGTGAAGACATTCAGAATGCCCTTCTCTTTCTCCATCTATTCACAGGAGTACTCTTGACACTAAAGGAAAAGGAAAAGCAGCTAAACGGTTGACTTTGATAAAGGCGAGTCCACGAGTTATCCCTAACACGACTTTGGTGGAAAGGACCATCAAGTCGCAGCTGATTTATGGCGACCCCTAGTGGCGTTTTCAAGGCGAGAGAGGAACAGAGGTGGTTTGCCGTTGCCTGCCTCTGCGTAGCAACCCTGGGAGCCCTTTTGCGTTCTCCCATCCAAGTACTAACCGGGGCCGTCCTTGCTTAGCTTCCAAAATCTGACGGGATTCGGCTAGCCTGGGCCATCCGGGTCAGGGCATTCGTGAATGGGCGAATGACTCTGGCCCGGGCAGGAGATTAGACAGAATCAACATCCTCTCTGACTGAGTGAATTTGTGTCGTGTCAAATGATAAAACACTGCCAATGAAAAAGGCCAAATTAATACTGTGACGGTATCAAGATTTACCGGAGGATATCTCCCTTGTTGAGGTTCAGGAGGACACTGTAGCCCCTGAACTCTGCTTCGTTCTTGCAGTACACCTGCTTGTTGGCCAGGTCCTCATACATCTCCTTCAGGCTCTGGAGGCACTTGGTCATGTTCTCATTGTTGATCTTCGCGTCGAAAGAGGACATGGGCTCCTCGCACAGGTGGTGGGAACAGTGGATGTGGAAGCGAGTGCATTTCTCGATCAAGGAAACCGTCAGGGGACTGCAGAGATGCTGCTGGGTTATATCCTGGCAGAGACAAATGTAAAAAGCTTAAGACTGTGTCTCCTTCCGCTTGTCCATTTTTCACAGCGCCAACTGAAGCATTCTGTGATTCTGTGATTCTAGATCAAGGCATTCCAATCTTAAACCCGGTTGCTAGTGCACTCAAAACAGCACCTTTAATTAAGACTGCATATTTAATCCTGAATGTTCACTCCTGCCCCTTGAAATATGAAATGGCACCCTGCCATCTTCCACACTCCGGTGCTAGATATATCCAAACAGCCGCCCAGGCTTGTGGGGCAAAATGTTTACCGGTGGGGCTGCCAGTATTTTTATGTCAGCTCCAATCTGCCCCCAAGCCTGACCACTGGCGGCAACCCCTCTCCCTCCTCTCCCGCAAGGTTTAAAGGGCTCTTCGGCTGATCGACGGGGAGCACGTGCCCTGCCGATCAGCTGGAGGGCCCTTTAAATCTTGCAGGAGGGGAGGGAGAAGGGCATGCGCCAGCCCCCGCTTCTTCTAAAAAATGTTGTACGCACAGTTTATGAAACCCTGTTAAGCATTTTGCACTCTGCCACTGACTAACCAGGTTACACTCAGAAGGAACACTTAACACTTCCATGATAGATATGTTAAGTGCCATTTCTGATTTTAACTACATGGACAGAAATCAATCATGAATGTATTCAGATGTTAACTTTGGTTCATTTATGGCTACTGCTGAAAATGCATGCTGGGAGAATGAAATGAAATTAAATGAAATGCTGTTTTGCTGTGGCTTGCGGCCTCGGGAAGCCTATTAACTGCGCATGTATCAGTTAGCCTAGCTAGAATGAAGAACAATAAGCGCCCTGTAGCCATATCAGTTATATAGATACAATTTAGAGCATCATGGTTTAAGAAGAAGAGTTTATTGTTCAGCTAGAAAAAAAGAAACCTTGCTTGGGAAAGCCCAGCCTGAAAGGTTTTCCGCCAATCAGAGACCTGTTAGGTCAGAGTGCTGATGTTTAATGGAACCAATAATCTTGTTTTATTTGTGTGTGTCATCTTGAGTATAAAATTCCATGTCACCCATTGTAACACTCGAAGAGTCTGTTGGGTATTCAGGGGTTCCAGACCTTGATATCTGTACTCTTCCTTTATTAATTAATAATATTTTTTTTAGTGTTCCTCCTCGACAGGACTGTTTTCGTGTGTTTCTCAAATTGGGTTGGCCAAACACAGCCAGGGACACAAGTTGTGTCCAACAGAAGCATTTAAAGTATCCCTGAAAATGCTTTTGAGAAGTGGGGAATGGTGCGTGCCCCTCTCGCCAATTCTTCTTTAAAAACCTTCTTGTCAAAAAATCTTGTGGGGCTGGCCCTTTAAGGTAGGGGCGAAGCCCCCAATAGCCCCCACTGTAGCTACGGGCCAGCAGCCACAACTTTCTAATATCCTGCTTGCCCAACCCAAGAGCCCCAAGCCAAAGTAGTTACCTTCCTTATCCCACGAGTCCTATTCCATACGAAATCGTACCACTCCCGGAAGTTCCCTTCTCCCTTGTCCATGATCTGAGTGACTAAGTAGTCCATGGTCATACTCAACACTTCCAAAGGCCGCAGCTCGTGTGGCAAAGGCTCTTCCTGGTCTGCTGAAGACCTGCTGTACTCCTTGATTGCAGCTGCGTGGTCAACCTCAGAGAGGAAAAAGGGGGGAAAGAAACTCAGCACAAAACACATTCGGCCACGTTCCATTTGAAAGGAAGGACAAGAACTGAAGGTCCCCCACAGCTATACATTCTCTCTCGCTGCTAAGAAAGCTGGCGAAATCAGAACTGTCGGTCATTCCTGCATAAATACGGTGTTTGTGACAGCCGCACAAAGGTTTGGGGGCTTTACGACTTTCAGTCACGGGAGTGCTCCTTAAGCATCGGTTATGCGGGTGGTGTCTTGCCTGGGTTGTCAACGCAGTCCGGCATCTACTCCATTATTGTTCATTCATGTCGTTTAAGAACCTGACAGTGCAGGAGCCTAGGCCCATTTGGTTCAACAAAGGAGGGGATGGAGGGTTCAATCCTTCCTCCCCTTCCCATGCAACTCAGACCCATATTACAGCCATGCGTGCAATTCACCTTTTACAGACCGGCAGAGAACGAAGATCTTCGTTTATGTCTGTTCGGCTCCACGGGGACAATTAAGTAAGAACGGACTTCTCCCTTGGAGTACCTGCCGTTTTGACAGCTGTCAAAAATCCTAATCCATCTGACTGCAAGAACCAGTTCTTACTATCTATATCTATCTATATCTCTATATCTCTATCTCTATATCTCTATCTACATATCTCTCTCTCCCTCTCTCTCTCTCTCTCTCTCTCTCTCTCTCTCTCTCTCTCTCTCTATATATA